ACGGAAAGAGACGATCTGCTCTAGGGAAAATGAATCGATTCATTGAAGAGTTACGGTAGCTTTGTTGGATGAAACTTTTAAATTAAAATTTGAAGTAATCTTTTGATCGGCTTAAAAATTGCTTTAAAAAGCTTTTCTTGAGATCTAGCTGAATTGTAAGACTGGCTTAAGAATAAGATTCTTGATTGACAAAGAAGCTTACAAAGAAGCTAGGAAAGAAGCTTAGAAAGAAGCTTACAAAGAAGCTTAGAAAGAAGCTTGGAAGCTTACAAAGAAGCTTAGAAAGAAGCTTACAAAGAAGCTTAGAAAGAAGCTTGGAAAGAAGCTTACAAAGAAGCTTAGAAAGAAGCTTAGAAGCTTGCAAAGAAGCTTAGAAGCTTACAAAGAAGCTTACAAAGAAGCTTAGAAGCTTAAAAAGAAGCTTAGAAGCTTACAAAGAGGCTTACAAAGAAGCTCACAAAGAAACAACGAAACTTATAGATAAATACTTTATTTAGAAAGAAATAAAGTGCAAAAACGACATGAAAAATGTACCAGATAAAAGATCACAAAGTCACTTAAAATGCAACGAAGTAGCCCTTTTAAAATCAGACACGGTGGAGATCAAACGCAACTTGTCGGGAAGGGCATTCCAACATTAGAAAAACTTAGAACTTAGAAAGAAAATTCTAGCAAAGAAACTTCTAGCAAAGAAACTTACAGCTTATAAACTTAGCTTCGAATTGTATTGTATAATATGTAACTTGGAACCAGTTGAAGCTGTTATTGAAAAAGTATTAGGCTAAACTCGAGCTAATTTTATCTATCATTGCGGCAAAAGTTCTGTCCTTTTTAGAATTCTCTTTAAATTCTCTGATTTTTATTATTTCATACCGTAAATACTGTTATAGTACCCCACCGCCCTCGTACAGTCGCGTAGTCGCAAAAGTTTTTTAGTATTTCATTTTTTTCAAAGCGCCCATACTTTCAAAAAATGCGTCTTTGGTATCAAAAAATAGCTGAAATTCAGGGCTATTTTTTGATACCAAAGCGCGCATTGTAGAATAAACCAGTGTCGACAAGCACTCGTTCAAAGTTAGACTAGGCACCACTCCGCACCGTCATTATGGGGGCGGGGGTACTATTACAGTATTTACGGTATGCGTTTAAAAACATCTACTGCCTTGAAATCCCTTTCTTCACATCTAACTTCTACTAGATTCAAGATTTTCTAGAACAATGAACGCAAATCTAGAATGAAACAGCTCTTATTGACTATTCGGGGCTATAGCTGGGGGATTTTCTTTCACCAAATGAGCTGATTTTTTGGCACCCAAGGGTTTTTGACTATGCTGAATCGATTGGTGATAGTTTCAAACAACATTTCGACAAATTAGAACTCGCTGACACGTCAAATTTGGGCTAAGAGGCAAAAACTACGCAACTTAACGCTTTTCCGCAGTTTTTGCCTCTTAGCCCAAATTTGACGTGTCAAGGAGTTCTAATTTGTCGAAATTCGGAATCTACGCATATAGTTCCCCTATGTGGAAACATTTTTAAAGCTCTACGGCCTTTTCTAAGGCCTTTTCCAGCGAAAAAAAAGGTGCGCTTTTGGTCGGGTGGGCAAAAAAAAGGTGCACCTTTGTCCCACCCCCGTTTTCAAAGCGCCCGTACTTTCAAAAAATGCGTCTTTGGTATCAAAAAAATAGCCCTGAAATTCAGGGCTATTTTTTGATACCAAAGCGCGCATTGTAGCATAAACCAGTGTCGAGAAAAACTCGTTCAAAGCTGGACTACGCAACACTCCGCACCGTCATTATGGGGCCGGGGTACTACTACAGTATTTACGGTAAGTGTTTCCAGCCAAAAGATAGCCAATCTTTTGCAGATTATAAATCTTATTACAGTTTTAAAATAGCTCATTTAGATTTTTCGCTATCGCTATTCTTGGTCTTCGAAAAAAGCGAACTCAAGCAAATTGTGATAACACAAAATCTAAATGAGCTATTTCAAAACTGTAATAAGATTTAAACTCTGTGAAAGATTGGCTATCTTTTGGCCGAAAACACTTATGAAATAAAAAGAATCAGAGAATTTAAAAAGGTCAGAACTTTCGCCGCACTCTGTAGATCTTTAACAAGAAAGAGCTGATTTAGGGAATTTAAGCCACGATTTAAGTCAAACTCTGAAGTAATAACGAATAAAAAGCTATACTTAACAAAAACTCACTATAACCCACTTTGTTTTCATGCTTTCCTGTCTATATTTAAGATTTCCGGTAGAAAAAAAACTACGAATTTTTCCTAAGAGGAGAAAAATTTCCCTTTGTGAGGCAATGGAGTCATTTTGCGGAGTGCTTATATCCTAAATGGAGGTTCGTGGGCTCAAAAATAAAAGAAAAATGGAGAGAAAAGAGGCTATGAATTTCAAATTTTCCTCTTTATCGCCTCTAGGAATAGGGATTTGAAAAAAGTTATGCAGAATTGAAAAGCAATAGAAGTTGTTGAAGTTGTTGAAGTTAGTTGTTAGTTAGTTAGTTGGAGTAAGTTGGAAGTTGGAGTTGAAGTTGGAGTTGGAGTTTAAGTTAGTTTAAGTTGAAGTTGGAGTAAGTTGAAAGTTGAAGTTGAATTTAGAGTTTAAGTTAGTTTAAGTTGAGGTTAGAGTAAGTTGGAAGTGGAAGTTGAAGCTAGAGTTTAAGTTAGTTTAAGTTGAAGTTGAAGTTGAAGTTGTAGTTAGAGTTGAAGTTAGTTGAAGTTGGAGTTGAAGTTGGAGTTGGAGTTAAAGTTAGTTTAAGTTGAAGTTGGAGTAAGTTGAAAGTTGAAGTTGAATTTAGAGTTTAAGTTAGTTTAAGTTGAGGTTAGAGTAAGTTGGAAGTGGAAGTTGAAGCTAGAGTTTAAGTTAGTTTAAGTTGATGTTGGAGTAAGTTGAAAGTTGAAGTTGAATTTAGAGTTTAAGTTAGTTGAAGTTGATGTTGGAGTAAGTTGGAAGTTGAAGTTGTAGTTAGAGTCTAAGTTAGTTTAAGTTGGTGTTAGAGTAAGTTGAAAGTTGAAGTTGAAGTTAGAGTCTAAGTGAGTTGAAGTTGGAAGTTGAAGTTGGAGTTGGAGTTTAAGTTAGTTTAAGTTGAAGTTGGAGTAAGTTGGATCAAAGCTGGTTTTCAAACTAGTTAGACCAATCTAGTCAGACTAGTTGATGTAGTTAAAATTCTTTCGAAATTATTTTTGAATCAAAATTTGCTAGGTTTTTAAATATTTTGTGCTGTTTATTGGATCGAAATCATTTCTCCGTGAGCGGTGAAATGAAAGGAAATTTCTTGATGAGTGCAGCTGTCTTTGAGAAAACAATGTCACCGAATAAGGTTTGAATGAATGAAATGCATCAAATGAAATTAATCAAATAAAATTAATGAAATGAACTGAATCAAATGAAATGAATGAAATGAAATGAATAAAATGAACCGAATCAAATGAACTGAATCAAATGAATGAATAAAAGTCAATCTATTCACCAAAAGTTGACTTTAGCCAAGAAAATGGACAAGAAAATGGACAAGGAAATTGAAAGGAACGGCTATTGAAATTTGTGAACATTAGGGGGAAAAGAGGGGTGCTTTGTCGGCCGCTTCTTGTCTAGATGAATCACACTCTCCCGATCTCTTCAGACACAGAAATTCATATGCTGAGTAGATGATTAAAATCGTGCTAGTGCTGTGATTGAAAAGGTTTTTTTGAGAAAAAGAGAACAAAAATAGAAACTCGTTACAGAAACGAGTAACGAGTTTTTAACGAGTAACAAGTAACGAGTTTTTAACGAGTAACGAGTAACGAATAACTTCCATTTTTATATCAAAAGAAACCTTGCTTTCTTGGCTACAAAATGGGTGAAAAAGTTTTCTAAAAAGTTAAATTTTTAGAGAGAAAATTAGTGTTCAAAATGGGGGCCTAAAAATTCAGTTGACTGACAGGCAAAGTGAGTAGGCTTAGGGAAATCTGATGAAACTTATACCATTAAACGTAAAATTTTACGCTGATTCCAAATATATATTCCGTTTTTACCAGATGACAACCCTTCAAAAGTTATAAGGGTTTAAAGTTTTGTGGCCTGTGGCCTCTGTGAACTCTGTGGCCTCTGAGGACTCTGTGGCCATTTGGAACCAAATTTGAATGCTATCCAGCCGGCGAAATGCTAAGCGCCCTATCCCATTAAACGCAGAATTACTCAAGAAAGTTACTCGTTAAAGTTACTCGTTAAAGTTATTCGTTAAAGTTACTATTAGGTTGATGCATAAGTGTTTTTGTTCCTTTTCGTCTGCCGTTTCAAGCCAACAAATGCACGAATTAAACTACGGTTGATTTCATTAGAAAAACCAATTATTTTTCTGCAAAATAACATTAAAACGGGTTTAAAAATATTGAATGCCTGGATTTTCTTGAGAGTATGAAGTCGGGTAGTCAAAAAGGGCTAACTCGATGATGCGGTTTAGACACCTTAGCTAAAGAAAACCTATCTTCGTGTCAATAGATAAAAGATAGAGAAAACAAAACGTTTGATATTTCGCCAAAATTTCAGAGAAATTCATTCAGCCAATTTTTCCGTAGAGTTTTTCATAGATTTTTACGAAAAAGGCGTTTTTCACTCTCGAATTTGCTTGAAAGTGAACCGAAATTCATTTAAAAAGATGCAAATTGAACAAAAAAACACTTTTTTTATAGAGCAAACTATAGATTAATTCGTGAATTTGTTACTTTTTAACAGAAGTACGAAAAAAACGAAAACACTTATGCATCAACCTATTAGTTTAGTTAAAAACTTGTTACAAAAACTTCTTGTCATACAAAGTTTAAAAAATGGCGTCTAAACATATCAAAAGTTAACAGTGATACTAGATTTTTTATTTGAAATTAAATTTGTGAAACTTTTACTCAAAGAAAACAAATGGTTTTTTTAGAAAACAAATAATTCAGTAATTAGCTAAGTTTAACCTTACAGTAACTCAAGTGTTAAGCAATTTATCGAACATAAAAATGGAGTTAAGTCATAAAAACAAGGGTTAGCACCTGTGGATCCTTATCTTCAGCTCTAATCGAACATTGGAAAGGTGTTTTCGAGGGAACAACAGTCACAAATCCGCGACGAGATGCGATAAGCGTGAGGGAGAATCGAGGTCGTTCAAGGTCTGACCACTTTTTTTTCTTTCAGCCTATTCCATTCTCAGCTTTGTTGTCCATCTTTACGTTAGTTAAGTTTACGATAGTTTTATGTTTAGTTTCATAAAATTTAAGATATTCGATATAAGAATAAGAAGACAATGAGACGATAAAGAGAACGTACAAAACGATACAACAATAAAGAATATAAGATAGAAAAGAGCTCAAAGATCTGAAGCTAACAAGGGAAGTACTCGCAGAATTTATAGAGGAAGAGAAGTTATAGAGGAGAAGCTATAGAAGAAGTTATAGAGGAGAAGTTATAGAAGAAGCTATAGAAGAAGTTATAGAAGAAGTTATAGAAGAAGTTATAGAAGAAGCTATAGAAGAAGTTATAGAGGAGAAGCTACAGAAGAAGTTATAGAAGACGTTGTAGAAGAAGTTATAGAAGAAGTTATAGAAGAAGCTATAGAAGAAGTTATAAAAGAAGTTATAGAAGAAGCTATAGAAGAATTTATAGAGGAGAAGCTACAGAAGAAGTTATAGAAGACGTTGTAGAAGAAGTTATAGAAGAAGTTATAGAAGTAGTTATAGAAGAAGAAGTACGCCTAAGGAGAAGTTGTAAAGGGAAAATGAAAAGAAACAAAATAGATTCGTATTAGTTTCTTTAAAAGCAGAAAAGCAAAGGAATCCGCGAGGCTTTTTGATTTTAACGAAGCTAATATGGATATATTTTGTTTCTTTTCATTTCCCCTTCTCCTTGGGCGTCTAGCGATCGGTAATGGCGAGCTGGGGTACTTCGTTGTACTTCCAAAAGCTGAGGTACTTCCAAAAGCAATTTTTATCACCTCCAAAGTTAGTATGAGCATAGAATTCACAAACAAAACATCATGCACAAAAGAGAAGAGTAAAACAAAAGAAAGAAAACAAAAGAGAAGAGTAAAGAGTGGGATTTTAAGAGCTAAGACTCGCACGAGAACGGAATATAGAGCTATTAACTGATTATGAGCCGAAAAATCAGATTTAAGAGTTTAGCAATTGCTTTATATATAAATGATCAATAAAAGATTTGCCAGAATTCTGGGTATGACAAATAAAACCGATAATAACAGATAAATGGATAATAATATAGATAACAATATAGATAACAATGTTTAAACCCAGTGTTAGAGGTTCTCCTCCTTTCCCTTCATTGTCCCTCAACATTTTCCTCGCCTCTCTTCCCCTTTTCTCCGCTCATTCCCCGCTAACGACCGTTCGCTTCGTGGCTTGGTGCAGTTTTTACGAGGGGGACTACTCTTGCGCGATCCCCTTTTCTCAACAACAATAAATTCTCGACTCTTTGCGCTTGAATCTTTTAGTTTCGAGAGCACGAAATGAGCACTTGCTAAAGTACGAGTACGAGTATGAGTACGAGTACGAGTATGAGTACGAGTACGAGTATGAGTACGAGTATGAGTACGAGTACGAGTATGAGTACGAGTACGAGTATGAGTACGAGTACGAGTATGAGTACGAGTACGAGTATGAGTACGAGTACGAGTATGAGTACGAGCACGAGTATGAGTACGAGTACGAGTATGAGTACGAGTACGAGTATGAGTACGAGTACGAGTATGAGAACGAGTACGAGTATGAGAACGAGTACGAGTATGAGAACGAGTACGAGTATGAGAACGAGTACGAGTATGAGAACGAGTACGAGTATGAGAACGAGTACGAGTATGAGTACGAGTACGAGTATGAGAACGAGTACGAGTATGAGTACGAGTACGAGTAACGGATTTATAGATAGTTTATCATTTTGAGGAATTGAAGGAAATCTAGGTTCAACCACGTATTTCAGAGGATACTTCTGCTTTTTTAGATCACCGAAACAATGGATAATTTTTGAAGGATTAGCTAATTTTGAAGGAAAAGCTAAATTCTCGATTCAATAGAAAAAAGTCTTTTGAAAACGGGAAAACAATCAGTAGCTCAAAAATGAAGATGCATCAAATGGATCAAATGGGAATATAAGCTAAACAACTCAACTCAACAACTCAACTCAACAACTCAACTCAACAACTCAACTCAACAACTCAACTCATTATCTAGCCTCAAAATCGAACAAAATTCAAATCTAGAAGAGTCAAGATTCGATAATTACTTGCTTAAAGATTCATAGCCTCTTTTATGGGCACTTATCGAGATTTCTTTGTCGAAAGGAGGCGATCATCAGAAATTCTCTTTATGGAGGACGCAACAGACCCACTCTCTCACCCAGGTGGCCACCATAAATCTTTCGATCTCGATGAATCACACATTTGATTTTGATGAACAGGGATAGATCTGATGAGTTTGGAACTACAGGGTGTGGCAGTGTTGCGCTGTTGCGTGCTACCTAAAGTTTTGCGCTTAATGCTTACTGCATTTTCGCTTTCTAAGACAATACATTAATCTAAGCTGAAAAACAAAAATTAATTATAAAATCTACGCGTAATTTTACATAGAATAGAAAAGCTGTAAAATTTTTTTATTAACTTTGATAACTCTAGCTGAGCAGTACAAAAAAAATGCTATGCTTTGCTGAAAAACAAAAATTCGAGTTTAGGATCTCTAAAAATCGTCTTTTTCTGTTCTTTTTCTGCATTAATACGTTTTCAGAGTTAATCCTATTCTACTTATTACACCGTATTCGCTCTAATAGAGAGAATACGGCACTATAGTTCCAAGTCTCTTCCAATCTCATTGCAATACAACGATGGTTTAACCCTGGACTGATTTTGGCCTTGTCGTGGCTTAGCCTGGCCTAATTCTGTCCTTGTTCCTGGCTTAACCTGGCCGAATCCTGTCCTTGTTCCTAGCTTAACCTGGCCTAATTCTGGACTTGTTCCTAGCTTAACCTGGCCGAATCCTGTCCTTGTTCCTGGCTTAACCTGGCCTAAATCTGGACTTGTTCCTGACCCTAGCCTGGCCGACAATTGCGACAATGAAGTGGAGAAAAACGAGTATAAAATACCGTATTCTCTCTAATAGCAGTGCATCTCATCGAGCCGAGTTGACGACTATTTTACAGTTCCCAAGCTTTCACAGAAGCTCAACACTCAAATCCCCCACTAGATCTCATCGTCAGCTACATTTTCCGACCCCACATCGATAGGTTCTGATAAGCGGTTCTCGAGATTTCGAGGAATTTAGGCGACGCTCTTGGTGCACTACTATTAGAGAAAATACGGTAGATGAGAAAAAGAAACAATAATCTAGCAAAAATTTTCAAAATTCCCTTCTACCTCGCAACAATTCCTTTTGATCTTGAATGTAAATGTCAAAAAATTTTAAACTTTAAAAATCTAATCTTAATGTAAAAGCGCGGAAAGCTTTAGCACCGCCGCTACGATTTACATTCAAGCCGATATCCCCGAAAAATGTTTCACTCTTTTTTTCAATAGAGTTTAGCTGTAATCACACTTTGTTGTTTAGGTTTTAAACTCCCAGCTGTTTAACAACTCGAATTAACAACAAAGTTAATTAGATCAGGTGGAAAGTTTCATGAATATGTTTTCGAAGGAGGGAACATTTTTTGTTGAAGAGAAAATGAAACCTAAAATTTCTTGAAACCAATTTCTTTTTACAGTATTCAGTTAAGTGTTTCGTTTGATAAAACTTATGGGAGTGGGACAAATGCGACCTTTTTTTGGCACCCGGACATTTGCGCACCTTTTTTTCCGCACTTAGCCCATTAGCGCACCATTTTTCGCGTTTTAAGTTCTAAAAAGCTCTAAAAAGCTAATATTAACCAATTTCTATTCCAAAAGTTCTTTTTCTAGGTAATTTTAGGGCGTAGAATCGAAATTTTGACATAACAGAGCGTGTGGAACCAATTTGAAAGACGGCTAGATCAAATTACAGAAAATTGTCGATCTTTCTCTTTGTATAACTCCGTCCATTTGTTTCCACAAGCTCTGATATGTCAAAATTTCGATTCTACGCCCTAAAATTACCTAGAAAAAGAACTTTTGGAATAGAAATTGGTTAATATTAGCTTTTTAGAGCTTTTTTAAAACGCGAAAAAAGGTGCGCTAATGGGCAAGGTGCGGTATAAAAGGTGCGCAAATGTCCGGGTGCGCAAAAAAAAGGTCGCATTTGTCCCACTCCCAAACTTATCAAATATTTTCAATTATTATCACTTCTATTAAAATATCACTTTCAAAATCGCTGCAAAGGTCATATTTTCTTGCAAGTGGACCCTCCACTCGCGAGTAAGAAATTTGAAACTTTGACAGGGGAAAAGGAAAAGAAAGAAAGGAAGGAAGAGATTCCAATCTTTTCCGCTTACTCTAAAAAAAATTGTATTTACAAGAAATTTTGATCTGCATTTCTCTGCGGACTTCAATTTGATTTCAATGTAACTCAATGGTTTTTGAATTTAACTGGAGCAGTTTTTATTGGGTTGGTGAATTGAAAACTGCCGGCTATTGTCATATGTCACAGTTTGAGCACTTTCTTCAAAAGAAACCCATTTTGCTGTCAATGGAAAAGTTGTAGAGAATCAAAAATCAAGCTTATATCCTAATTTTCAAAACGATTCAAAAACTGGTTTTCAAGAAATGCCAAATTTACGAATTTTCACAAAACTCGCATTTTAAGCGAAACTACCAAGTGTATCGTTTTGAAAATTTGGCTATAAGCCTAATTTTTGATTCTCTACAACTTTTCTATTGAAACTAAAATGGGTTTCTTTTGAAGAAAGTGCTCAAACTGGGAGTCCTCCATCCTCCTCTCCAGTCCTCGATTTTTGAGTCTCACACTTGTCTCAGACATAAACCAAAATGCTACTACGAAAGAGGAATCCGCAAATTGCCTGTAAAATGGGCAGAAGTCGCCAATAACAATGGAAATTATTTGGAATGAATTTATGGTTTTATGTTGAATAAATTTTAGTTCAAAGTCCCGCTGTTTTCAATTCACCAACCCAATAGTTCGGAAATTCTAATTCTCCAGGAGAATGGGTAAATCCTTATTTTATTCTACATTAGCCATTCAATTTTTTTTTGATTTTCTTGAGCTTAAACTTTTATTTTTAGAATTTAGATTAGATTAGATTAGATTAGATTAGATTAGATGAAGATTGAGATTGAGAATTGCATTTAGAGAACTTTGTCAACTCTAGTACGAATTTTGTCAACTCTAATATCAATTTTGAAAAGATTAGAAGGACAATTTGTGAGAGTACCCAAAATTCTACCCAAAATTGTACTCAAAATTGTTTTTGAGTACAATTTTGAGTACAATTATGAGTACAATTTAACTTTTTTATCTGATTTTTTAACTGAGATTACTTTTTTTTAATAAACTAGCTTCATTAATGAAGAAATTTTTATTTAAGGATCCATTCAGATCCAGCATTTTGTATTCTTGAAACATTTTTAGTTGATCTTTATGTAGCTCTTTGTAGTCTTTACAAACTGTGTAGTCTTGACAAACTGCTTTTCCTTGCTTCTAATTGAGTAAAATTAGAATCTAAGATGTGCAAACGAATTTTAGAAGGCTTTGTGCCGTCATAAGATGTCTTCTAGACAAAAAATCAACTCTTTCTCCCTCTTCTAAACCTTCAAAAACCCATTCCACAAGCTCTCATCCACCCTTTTCGCGCCTCTTTCCCTATGCTCATTCTAAAGCGCAACAGGCGTTCAAGGGTACTGTAGTCAATGTCTAGCAGCGAACTCTCACCGACTACACACAGATAGGGGCCGAGAGAGAGGAAAGCAGAAAAAAGGGGGAAAGAGGAAGAGGGACGGCTTTGAAGTGATTCAAACGCTGAACCCCCGAAAAGCTCTCGCCCTAATCGATGAATGGGTCTGATTTTACCTGAATATTTTCATTTTCAATTTAATTATTTTTTTTTTTGCTTTAAACTCAATCAGCCTTTCTGTCTCCTGCAAATTTGTTAGTTTTTAAATGATTGGGGAATTTTAGGAATAACCTGCTGTTTGTTGCTTTAGAATAATATAATAAAGAAGGCGTCAGTTTGTAAATCAATTTGTAAATCAATTTTTAAATCTGCAATCTTGCAAATTTACCATTATTTCTATTTTTGGTTCACCTAATCTTTATTTGCGATTTTCTCTGTCAAATCCAGATTTTCTTTTTTTCTTTTTTTCTTTAGTTATTATTTTTGCACTTTAAGTATTGGGGATTTCAAGGTTTGCTCAGAAGGATTATTTTCGGAATCTTTCAATCTGGATTTAGCTTTTTTCAAGAATTGAAAGAAAATTCTGCTAGATTTGGTTTCTTTTTTGTAATTTTAGCATTAGATCATCTTTGGACAGTAGCCAAGTTGCAACATTAGATCATTGTTTAAATATTATGACTTGTTGCTGTAGTTTGTTTGATACTTGTAGCTTTGCAGAGTTGGTGTGATTGAGTCATTTATATCATACTGCTATCTGCTATTCTTCCAACTTATCCTAGCTGGTTTGCTAACTTTTTACAGAACTTGTAGAATTTCTAGATCTTTCACTTATAGACTTCTTATGGTAGCCAAGTTTTACCTAGGCAAAATTCTGATGGTAAACAATGTTTTCAATCCAATATTTCAATCCAATTCAATCTACGTAATTGCTGACTTTTTTTTCTAGCTGTCATCTGCAGCTATTTGCAGCTTTCCTTTCAAGCCCGGCTCTTTGATCACTGGCACTTGAAAAGAGATCTTTTAAAATTTCCACTTGCATCCCAGGTTTCCAGGCTCCAAATCTTCAGCCCCATTTCTCAAGACCGCGAGAAAAAAAGCGTCTGATGGGGTCGGATTTCTCATCCATTGACACTTCTAACATTGAATCGATTCACACAGGCGAAAAAGGGAGGTTTTGAGGGGAGATGCGAGGGATGGATGTGTGTGTTTATTTTTCGGTGGCCCTTCCACTAGCTGGCCCACTTTCTCTTTTTTTCTTGTGCCTTTCTTCCTTGCGCCATCGGCTATTGCCGTTTTCCGCGTGCGCGCGAAGAAGAGGCGAAAGACGGGCGACGCGACGACCGACCGACCGACCGACAACACTTCCCTGTTTCTCTTCGGCGGGGCTTAATGAGAAGTTGCTACATTTTGAAAAAGACTAATTATGGCCGCTTATTGTTCTTTTATGAATCTTTTGGGTTTTTGTGGTTAGTTATTATTTTTCAAATCTTGGTTTTAACTTTTTCGTTCACCGCTTCTTTTGGTGACATCTCCCCCCGGCTTGTGGCTGTGTTTTCCTACCTAAACAATCGATTTGTCAATTTTGTTATTCTTTCTTTTGATCTCATTGTTGCGAAGTTAGATCAAGTAACAAGATTAATGTTTACAAATTTGTATGCAAAAGAAGACGTACGTAAATTATGCATTTCGAGTGGGGGGCTAGGGGAACACTTTTTTTTGACGCTTTTTGCCCATAACCATAACATCTTAAAATTTATTAGATCATTAGATTCATTAGATCATTAGATTTGTTTTAGCGTAAGAAATAAAATGATAACTAAATCAGTCGAAAAAGTAAAGTTTAAAGAAAGTTATGGGCAAAAAAGGTCGAAAAAAATTTGGTCAGTTTGGCTGATTTGCTCTCTTTCTTCCTTTCTTTCTCTTTCTCTTAAGTACAATTATAAGCTTCTATATTTGTACGTTGTTTTCTTTTTATAGTTGGAGAATAACATGGATAACATTGCGAAAGTTGAGCAGAGTTGGTTCAAAAGCAGTCATCACGAAAAATTTGTGGTTTTGAAACGCAACTTTTCTTCAACAATTTCCACTTCCCGTTTCTTTTCCCTCAAATTGATTCAAAACATTTCTCCCTGCGTGTGCTTTTGTTAATCCTCTAATTATTGCCCACATAGAATTTGATTCGATTAGCTCGTTTCGCTAATTTCGAGAAAATGTTGCTGATTTTGTTTCCGGCTCAATTCTCATCCTTTTTGCGTAAATCATATCGATTTTTTAAAATAAAAACATTTCCTGATTGATAGCCAAAATAAGCCGTTTTCAGCTTGCCGCCTAACCATCATTTTTACGTTCCCCTTTTTCCCCTCCAGCTTTATCGATTTTGCTTATCATGCCATATTTTCGTTGATTGGTCATTGATAGACACAATTGGGTCAAACCATGGATTTTTTTTTGGCTTTTTTTCATTTTACATTCGTTACTTTCTTTCTAAGCATTAACTAATGTTTTTTCTTTCAGATATCGCTCAAATGGCTTCCGGAGAGGTAGCTTCGGTGGCTTGTTACGGCGGTCCAGAAACATCCAGGTTAGTTGCGGCCTTTTGGTTCTTTTCAGTTACAAAATGGCTTAAAAAGATTAGATTTTAAAATTTTTAAGTAATACCTGCGTAACATTATTAAGTACGATGTCAAAAGTTCAACACAAACGCTTTCTGGTTAGCTAAGCGTTGTTAATCAAACATTTTTGGTTGGTAGTTTCGCAAAAGTTTGAGGAAAACAAGTACTAAAAAGCACATGAATATTTTTTTCGTATACTTAAACAGATGATCAGCACCTTTGCAAACGTTGACGCTCACTTTCACTTTTGATCCGCGTTCTCGTCGCACCACTGTTTCTTTTCTTTTTCCAAATAATACCCGTTTCTTGTGGTGCTCTGTTGGTTTCTTTAGTCTTATTTCTAGGTCTAGCTTATCATAGATTAGAGATCTTCAGGCTCTTATAAATCTCTTTCATTTCAGTGCAACTTGGGAGGCTGGACAAGTGCCGATGGAGTTGGCCGAGCTGGCGAGAAAATATCAATACCACATTAACGACACGAAATCGCTGCAAAAAGAAGTTGTCGGCATTAAGAATGAGATTCGCAAGGAGCTGAAGAAGCAAATGAAAATGAAACAAGGAATTCAACAAATGCAGGTGTGCTTTTTCAAATTTAACCCTTACAAATAAAATCTACGAATATTTAATTATTCTTTCACTTTTTGAGGTTAGTAATTCTTTTTACTTTAGAAAGTAAGCCGGAGCAAGATGCAGGACAATCTAAAGACAGAGCTTCGCGACATCAACGATTACATCAGTGAATTACAAGAAGATGTTCTTCTCTTGGATATCTACGATACTGGGGCTTTTGGTAAGTTTATCACACTTTGTCCGATTTTCAAACAAATGCTTTTTCGGCTTTAGTCTCTGCGATAACCCCAAAGTTTGAGTGTGTCGGCGGGAAGGGAATCCTCAGGGGACTACTCTATCCTTTTTCTAGCACCAATCACTTGCCTGGGGTGCCCTCGAGCGGCCGTAAAATCTTTCCGAGTTCTTTCCATTTAGATGCCCACGTCCGGGTTTAGGGGGCAAGCATTGATTTGAAGAAAAAACGTTGACTATGTGGCACAAAAAACGGTTCTCCTTATCAGGAGCTCTACTAGGCGACTTTGCGCGTTTGTCTTTGAAATAGGGCGGACTAAAATTTGAACGCTGAACTATTTGCAGCAAAAAGTTCAGCAAAAAGCAAAAGTTCCGAAGAGCATCTCGTACCTTTCTTAAAAACATAGGTAGTTTTTTAAGTACTTGGAGAATCCTAATTTCTTATCATTCCTTCCTAAACTAATAGTCGCTTTGACGGCCTGTTTGAGAAAGCGCCATCCTTGTTATCATCTCATTTTCACAAGGTGTCTTTCGCGCAACGAAACGGCTTTATTTGCTTAGGCGCTGTGACAAAGGGCAAATTTGACGAAGGAAACCCTTTTTGGGGCATTCAAATTGACGATTGCAGAGGCAATGAGGGGATTTGTGGGACGAGGCGGTCCAAGCCCTTTTCCGAGGTCCACTTTGTCAACATGGTGGTGGTTCGGGGACTAGCGTTGCAATCTCTCTTTTCCACATTTTCTGCTAATGAGTTTGCGCATCGGCTTCACCTGGAACCTATGACCCAACATACCAAAAATAACTTTGATTACAGAGAAATGAAGTGGACAAGCTCGTTACACAATAGGGAAGATAAAATGAGGGGCTTTAAAGGAACAAAAGAAGATGATTATACGTGTTAATGAAAAATAGTTTTTAAATTTGATTTTTTAGATGCCAACGATTCGTCACCTGAGACCGAAGAATTTCAAGAACCATCTGCTGAGGCTGTTGAACCAAAGGCACATTCAGATAGATTGGTTCAGTTACGGGTAAGCTATTTGCATAAGTATAGGTGATTCACTGTAGAGCATCGAACTGTCCACTTATAATTTCAGTTTTCAAAGAAAAAACACCAATTCTATTCGAAATTAGATACTAGTATTCTGTAGAATAGCCAAATAAGAGAACATTTAATTTTATAAATTTGAATCCATTAAAAAATTTTGTTTAGAAAGATCTTGAGAAGGAACTCAGCGTGAAAGACGGTGTCGAACGTTTTCTTGCCCATGTGACCAAGCAACCGGGAAATCGTTCACAAAATGACACAATCAACTCGACAAAAGATATGCTGGAAGGATCGCGAGCGAAAATTGCTTTTCTACGAATGGAGATTGAGAAAGCAACAAAATCAGCCGATGAAGGTTAGTTATTGGTTGCACGAAGGGTAAAATAGTATTGATTTTTAGATATTCGCCCAGAGCACGAAGTTCGAATTGATGATTTACTTTACCGAATGCAAAAGGAAGCAGCTCTTGCCGAAGGAGCACGAAACATTTTGAAGGCGTTAAAGAGAGACCAGAAAAAGACCGACTTGAAAGGGATGACTGATGTATGGACTTTGCCATTTTATTGTCTACTAATTTTTTAGGCTTCCCAAACATTGCTCTTGTTAGAAGAAAAGCTTGACCTGATCTATCTCGCTGTCAGAAAGTATGCTGATCGTCTTTTGCCCGATCAAGCTGCAAAGAGAAAGGAAATACTCAATGAGGTGCCTCTGTACTTTAACCCTTTTAAACATTCGGTTTAGGTGGAGATGGTTCGGCTGCCGTTTCCTGTTTATTCAAAGACTGGCAGTACTCGATTCAGCCCTCCAACGAACAACAAATTTTCTGCAGTGGTTATTCTTTTAATCAATTTAAATTTAAAATATATTTTTTGTAGCAAGAACACACAACCAGCAGTCTACCTCGAGGTTATGGACTGAACAGTCGGCGACCGAGTGTAGCAAAGCTTGGTATTTCTGTGAGTGGGCGTCTTGAAGTTAGGTTGGTTTGTTAGAAAAACTATCAAGCAAATGAATTAACGGCAATGATAATCCAGAATTCAAAAAAGCTAACCAAAAAATATTTAGAATGATGGGTCTCCAAAACCTTTTGACGGAAGTGCTCGAACGCCGACCTCGACAAGAAGCCCTCGGTGCAACAGCAAGCGGCGGAATGGGTCATGTCGATGTGTCGTCACGATCAAAACTTGCCAAAGCGCCTACCGGTCGTAGCGCTAGGTACGCCCTCAATCCACCGTAAGATCATTATGCCCATTGGAAGGGCCGGAGGCGGACTAATCAACCGATTTGCGTTCCTATTAAAACTGGTGTAGGATTGATATCGATAACTTTTAATGAGTTGTAAAATTCGCACAAATACACAGCACAACCTTTTCATAGAAAGCACTGCCACAGCTTCTTTTGTGTTTTTGCTTCTATGTGTGTCAGAACATTTTGGGAAACGTTAGCTTTAAAAAGATAATTTATAAATTCGCCACCTATTCGCCACCTACTGTGAAGCGCTTTAGTAATTAAATTTAAGCTTTTTTTGTGCCCTTTGCTAAGCACACCTTCTATTTTGTGCCTTTATCTTGTGCTTTTTCTAGGTTTGTTCCTCGTCGGGCTATCGAATCACTATGTATTGGAAGCGATCTTCCAGTTGGATCACCATATCGTCCGTCTTCACATTATAAGCATTTCTCGCCGCCGCCACACTCTAACTATCAGTATGCACTTTTCTTTGTGTTGCACCAACTGTTCGTAACATGCTTTGTGTGTTTCATTTCGATTTCCGCATTGACAGCATGCGCATTTTCACATTCACAATGCACATAAAGAGTAACGCCAAATTTTCGTTGTTGATCCTAGCTAAATATTAACTCAGCGATCCTATAATCACGCATTTTGAAAATATGAATTGATTTATATTGTTTTCTTTAGCATTCCCAGCAGGAACGATGATGTATTCGTTGTGTTTCGTGTTGATAACAAGGTTTGAGCAGTTTGCCTGATTCTGACTCTTGATTTTTAGTTGGTATATCAATCAGAAGCCCGCCCACCTAATCCACAAGCATTTGATCAACGATTTTCTTTTAACATGGATCGGGTAAATACTTTCTCGAAGAGATATTCAATGACTACTTTTCAGAGTCGTGAATTGGAGATCGAGGTTTTCTACAAGGATTATCGTTCGATGTGTGCCTTTTCGGTGATGCAACTTGGCCAGATCATAGAGTCAAATGAAAGAAAAGCGGGAATGGTGATTGATTTGGAACCACAAGGACAACTTTTTGCTGATGTATGTTTTTTCTATACTATTTTTTTAATAGCTATCTGTTTAGTTTAAATATTTCAACCCAGTGGAAAGCCGTAAACCTCGTTTGGAACGTCAAAAGCGACTTTTCCGTGTGAAAGGTTTATTTTGGGCTAAAACCGGGCGTATTCATTAAATTTAGATGCTCAAGAATCTGGAGCCAAGAAGCAAATGGGAATCAATGCTTGGTCAAGACTATTGATGAGGTTTATATTATATACGGACTAAAGAACAAACTCTTTTAGATCGTCCGGTTCTCGACCAGAAGAGCCAGTTTTGGGTGTGGCAAGTGTTCACGGGGAAAATGGTGCGTCACCTCGTCAATACAAGCCAGTATTCCGTCCACAGCAAAGCGTTCAACATATTGAGACCAAGGTAATAATATCAAGATTCATGTAGATTTGGTGGTATAAGCAAAACAAGCACACTTTACGGTGATTTCAAAGTATTCCATACACATAACTGAAGTTTCATCTTTAGCCTCTCGAATCCAGAAGAAAATCAACTCCATCAATCACCCACACTTCCGTTCATCAGTCGTTGGATCTCGACTCACACTCTCACTTGCCACCAGCTATGCCGCCGCCTCCTTTGCCGATTCCTCGTACTTCGGTAAGTTTTATTTTTGAAAATCTTTGTGCTATTATCATTTTTGACATTATCTATTTAGATTCCTAATTCTCGTTCGACTCCAATGCCTCTCCCCGTATCGCATCCAAAAGAACAGCAAGCTCCACTTGGATCGGTTCAAATCGCTAACTTCTCGTTAATATCAGTGCTTGGACGTGGTCACTTTGGAAAAGTATTATTAGAGAGTTTTACAAACATGTATTTGGTTTTAGGTTATTCTTGCAAAATATCGCCCTTCGAATGAGTACTATGCTCTGAAAGTCCTGAAGAAAGGAGACATTTTGGCAAGGGATGAGGTGGAATCGTTGATGGTCGAGAAAAGAATTTTGGAGGTGGATTTTTGATCTATATTTGAGACCAAAATTTTCTATTTAAAGTTAGTTATATTTTTTCAATTTAGGTTGCGACTCGAGCCCATCATCCATTCCTTGTCAATCTCTTTGCTTGCATTCAAAGCGGAGAACATGTTTTCTTTGTGATGGAGTACTCGATGGGAGGTATAAATTGATTCATTTTCGTGTACTATTTTATTTTAGGTGACTTGATGAGGCATATTCATGATGATATTTTCACCGAGGAACGAGCTTCATTTTATGCTGCTTGTGTACTTCTGGGACTCGAGTTTCTTCATCAAAACAATATCATTTACAGAGATTTAAAGGTTGCTTCTTTTACAAACTATAAGTTGTTTACGAATTTATGATCTAGGTGCTTAATTTTCTTTTTATTGTCTGTAATTTTGGTCATTTAGCTTGATAACTTGCTACTGGATCGAGAAGGATATGTGAAATTGGCGGATTTTGGCTTGTGCAAAGAAGGAATGGGACCACATGACAAGACTTCGACGTTCTGCGGAACACCTGAATTCTTAGCTCGTATGTTTTTTTAAAGGTTTCATATATCATTCTGTTTTAGCTGAGGTTTTGACCGAATCATCTTACACTCGCTCGATTGATTGGTGGGGACTTGGTGTGCTGATCTTTGAAATGCTTGTTGGAGAGCCACCTTTCTCAGGTACTCTAAACTTTTTGTACTAGATAATTTTACAATTTAGGTGATGATGAAGAAGAAATTTTCGACTCGATTGTCTCGGATGATGTTCGCTACCCACGTTTCTTGTCGATCGAGAGTATTTCAATCATGCGAAGAGTAAGTTACATCCTTCAAGGTTTTGAATTGGAGCCTTAAAAATTTACTTTTAGCTGCTTCGAAAGAATCCCGAGCGACGACTTGGCTATGGACCTGAGGACGCTTCTGAAGTGAAATGCCAAGTAAGTAAAAGTTTGATTACTAAGGCGCTTTGTTTTATTCTACGTGAAAGGAATTATTTTGTTCGGAAGAAAGGACAAAGCAATATATGTTGTAGGCTCGATTTTTTTCAATCATTATTTTCAGCGCTTCTTCAAGCATATCAATTGGGAATGGGATGCCCTGCTGTCAAAACGCATACGCCCTCGTTTTACACCATCGATCGTAAGTTTTGGCTTAACAGAAGTTGTTATTAAATATTTTTAAAGCTAAATTTGCAATTCGATTTACTTACAGTCTTTACATTTTTATTTTAGAAAAATCCCGAAGATGTGTCAAACTTCGATGAGGAATTCACCTCAGAGAAACCGCGCTTCTCGTCAGCAAAGGATCGACGCCCAATTACAGAAGCCGATCAAAATCTCTTCGCCCCTTTTGACTTCTTTGCGCAACTGTAAATTTTGTTTGTTTCTTTTTGTTTTATGAAGATTTGACTAGTCACACTTTACAAGCCCCTATTTAGCCGTTTAAATTTCCTTTGCCAAATCTTTGTCACATTTCGGGTCGTGGCTTCTATTTCGGAGAATCAAAAGCAAGATTTCTATTGGAAGCTAAGGTTTAAGACATGCCCAACCCTTAAACGTTCTCAAAATTTACTGATGAGATTACAAAATTTGTTTGACTTTTTCAGTATCTTTTGTCAATCCCAGACATTAACTCGGTTTTATTGTTTTTGTTCTTACTCAGAAAACCTTTTAAATGTGTTGAAGGTGAAATTATGTATTGAGATTTTCTACTTCTTTTATTAGGTTGGCCAGGAAGTCTTCGTTCCTTTTTGTACTTTCGTTTAAAACCAACAAATGCACCAATTGAACTACGTTTTTTTCATTAGAAAGGTCAATTATTTTTCTGCAAAATAACATTAAAACGGGTTTAAAAAGTCCTGTCTGGATTTTTTTGGGAGCGTTAGATACTTTAGCTCAAGGAAACCTATTTTCGTGTCTATAGATAAAAGATAGAGCACAAAAAGTTTGATATATAGCGACATTTTCCGAGAAATCCATTCAACCAATATCTTCGTAGGGGTTTTTATCGATTTTTTTGATAAACACGTCTTCACTCTTGAATTTGCTTGAAAGTGAAACGAAATTAGACGTAAAAAGATGGGAAATTGAACAAAATAAACACTTTCTATTTAGAAAAAACCATAGGTTAATTTGTTATTTTTTAACGAAAGTACGAAAAGACTTTCTGGACAGCCTAATAGATTTGAAATTTTATTCTCTCTTAAGTCTATTCCCTCCTTTTACACAACGCAATCGTGGCTTTTGTGCATTAGTTTTCTTTTGTGTATTTGTGGTTTTTCTTTGTCGTTTCTCGTATCGCGAATGGTGTTTGCTAGTTGCTCATCAACTCCTTAATTTTGCCTTATTTCGGACATTCGGAAAAGTCAGAAAATACTTTAAAAATTGAAACCTCACCAAAAAATTTCCTGATTTTTCTGCCGCAAATTTTTTCTATGCCTACTCTGAAATGCTATCTTCTTTTCTTGGAACAAAATAAAGACTTTCTGACATTCTGTGTCCTTCTCAAGCATTTCTAATTGAAAGTTTTTTGAACGAATCATTTAGACGAACGAGATTTTTTTGAGTTGACAAAGTGAGGGGTGAAATTTTGTTCTCGAGACACCGATTGACAGATTTATCTCTGTCTCGACGTGTTCATAAATTATCGTGACACCATCGCGAAACTTTTCTCAAATGTGCACAAGCTCTATTTGAGGGGAAAAGAGGGGAAAAAAAGAGTATTTTCAGAGATTTCTTTAGGGTCTTTTTCATTTCTTATACTTTCAAAATTATCGTACTCTGCTCGGTGAGTAAACTCATTAAAAACTTTGTTTATCGAAAACTTTTCATCCAAATTTGACGTTTTTTTACAATTTTTCTTTGAATTCTTGATAGATTGAAAGAAAAGATTGAATTTGTTTTGCAAGAAATATCAAAATTTTTTGCAAAAAAATGATTTTTTGAGAGAATTTCCGAAATCTAGAAATCGAAATCGAAATAAGTAGTTATTTCAACTTCAACTGTAGTTCAACTGTAGTTCAACTGTAGTTCAACTGTAGTTCAACTGTAGTTCAACTGTAGTTCAACTGTAGTTCAACTGTAGTCAAACTGTAGTCAAACTGTAGTTCAACTGTAGTCAAACTGTAGTAGTTATTTCAACTTTCAACAAAGCTTGAAAATCAATGGGTTTTTCGATGCGATCATGAATTTCATTATTTCATTGGTTTGTTTTTTTGTTTGTTGTTGTCTTTCACCAAGAACATATGAATGAAGAGAAATTGAAAGTTGAAATAACTACTACAGTTTGACTACAGTTGAACTACAGTTGAGGCAATAAATTAATAAATAAAGAGGCAATAAATTAGAGGAAAGGCTTTCCTTCTCAATAAGATGAGGTTTTGGGGGGTTGAGGGAATACGCGGAAGATTCTCCAATTCACCAAAACCTTAAGAAGCTTTTCGTTTAGTTTATGCGGCTGTTGAGATGCGGCTTTGTTGAGAATAATTATTGAAGATTGAAGGCTCAAAAATTTGACTTTAACGATACTGATTTGCTTTTTAGCTAATTTTGCTAGCTTTTTAGCTAGTTTCCTTCAAATTTTGTTCAAAAAATCCGTTAAATTTTGTTCTGACGATTTCAATTCTTCATTTCAATGCAAATTGCGAACTTACGATGATCATGGAGTAAGAGAAAAGTGCCAATTGAATGAATTGAATTGACAATGAAGATAATTGAATTACGGTAGTTTTTCTAGACAACGGGATTACGGTAGGTCTTTAGACAATAGGGGTAAAATAGTTTTTTAGACAACAGGAGTACGGTAGTTTTTTAGACAACAGGAGTACGGTAGCTTTTTTAGACAACAGGAGTACGGTAGCTTTTTTAGACAATAGGATTATGGTAGCGCTTTTTGTAGAAAACGTTTTGACGAACGGTTATTGGAGCGATTGATTCATAGTTGGCGTTCAATGTACGGGAAGCATTCTGAAGTCATTTAAATTGAATATCAAAGAGCTTACTCTCTGGGAAATTTTTCTGACTCATTGGAACCAGAAAAGCAACTCCAAACCGAAAAAAACCTCACCAAAACACGCTTTTTGCAAAATTATGTTTATGCTTTTGGCGACCAAGATGGCCTTGAAAGTGAGGCAATCTTAATAAAGAAGATAGGTGACATCTTTTCTCTCGTTGTTGTTTTTCTTCTCCTTTCCTGAGGGAAAGGGAGGTTTGGCTTTGGCTCGTAAAGAGATTCGGGTTTTAGGTGTGTGGGGCCTTGTGTGCCTTCTCGGTCCTTTTTTCCGCCAGCAAGTTGGACACACCGGTCCTTTAAGCCAGTCCTTTTACGGACTGGGGAAACAAAATATAGTCGGTAGAGGGACTCGAACCCGCGACCTCTCGCCCCCCGGGCGAACCCTCTACCAATGAGCTAGATCAACAGGTCGAGGCTGGCGGTCCGGAGCGGCTCTTATCCCTTACTCTAATGGTCTCCTCGATCTTCTCCACATTGCAAACTGTGGCATAACTCTTTTCTTTCTTCAATAAGCTTTCAATTATTTATTTTCTTCTTCACATTGAGTCTTTGAATGTTAAAAAGCTTTTAAAATTTGCCATTTTTATGCATTTTGCCTAGAGATGAGGCTTTCAAGCGCAATTCAAGTCTTGATTCCGAAAAGTGAATGAACGAGTTATTAAAACTCTGTTTTTACTTTATTAAATTGTTCATACTTTAGAAAACACTTCGGAAGATCGAAAAAAAACGCTTTTGTTTTGAAGATCGTCTCGTAAACTCAATTTTGAGTGAACTTTTGGATGAAATGATCTTTTATTGGATGAAATCTATCTATTTATCTATTTCTCTATTAAATGTTTAATATCATGAATGCATGCATCATGCAAATGCAATCCAATGCATGCATGTAATTCAATGCATGCATGTAATCCAATTAATTGACGGAGACAAGGGAGGAGTGGTCGAGAGCGAAGAGGAGGTGACCAAGGACTTGGTAGAGGTCGACGACATCGAAGTGATTGACATTTCGTCGATCGGCAAGGGCAGGGTGTCGAGCACGTCAAAAACACGTGACTCGAGCTCGGGCGGAGGCACGTCGACGCCGGCTTCATCTTGAAGCTCGGCGTCTGCGTCAGCAAACGTCAGCAAACTTTGCCATTTTTATGCATTTTGCCTAGAGATGAGACTTTCAAGCGCAATTCAAGTCTTGATTCCGAAAAGTGAATGAACGAGTTATTAAAACTCTGTTTTTGGTTTATTAAATTGTTCATGCTTTAGAAAACACTTTGGAAGATCGAAAAAAAGCGCTTTTGTTTTGAAGATCGTCTCGTAAACTCAATTTTGAGTGAACTTTTGGATGAAATGATCTTTTATTGGATGAAATCTATCTATTTATCTATTTCTCTATTAAATTTTTAATAAAATCATGCAATCCAATTAATGGTTTTAAGCTTTAAAGCATTGAATTGATTCAAAATAGTTTGTTGATTGGATTTTGGTTTACTTTTGGTTTACTTTTGGTTTTGCAGAAGTCTCAGGTTTGTCAATGACTGTTCAACTCATCACTCATTTAGTTTATAAAGATTTACATTGCTTGTCTTTCTTCCTTTCTCTCTTTCTCTCTTCTTCTTTCTTTCTTTCTTTCTTTCTTTCTATTCCTTTAATGTAAATTTCAAAAGCTTTTATACATTTAAAGAACAAATATTAGGTTGATGCGAAAGTTTTTTGTCGAGTCGAAGAAAATCGAAGCCTTTCTTTTGTCGAAGAAAATCGAGCCATCTGATCAAACGATTTCGATCATCAAAATGAGTGACGCCTATCAATTAGAAAGAGAATTCTACGATTTTGCCAGAAATCACTTTGACGCCATCTTTATGTGCGTTAAATTGCTTTTCAAAAGTTTTTTTTTTAAACAACCATTGGCCATTGCAGTTTAAGCAAATTTGTTTTTTGTGATTAGAATGATTAGCAGTCTAGAAGTTCTATTAGAAGTCTAGGAGTTCTATTAGCAGTCTAGAAGTTCTATTAGCAGTCTAGAGGTTCTATTAGAGCAAAGTCTATGAAGTCTAGGGTTCTATGAAGTCTGTTCTATTAGCTAGGTAAGCTAGGGCATAGCAGTCTAGAAGTTCTATTAGAAGTCTAGGAGTTCTATTATTAGGTTGATGCAAAAGTCTTTTTCATTTTTTTCGTACTTCCGTTAAAAAGTAACAAATGCACCAATTGAACAACGGTTTATTGCATTCGAAAGGCCAATTATTTTTCTGCAAAATGACATTAAAACGAGTTTAAAATGTCTTATGTCTAGATTTTTTTGAGAGCCTGAAGTCGGGTAGTCAAAAAAGGCGACGGCTCGATGATGCATTTTAGACGCTTTAGCTAA